TCCCCGCTCCTTTCCAGTTCTTCGGTAGTTTGGCCAGAGCCCTCCAGTTTGGGTCTCAAACCTCCTGGATTGCTGCAGGAGTCTCCTGCTTTGCTGTTCTTGGTTGTCTGGTTGCCTCGTCCCTGCTCCTTCGAACCTTCTTGTCCTGATGGAGCAGAAGATGGTCCACCAAACCACCACCCCTTCAAGGCTTTGAGACCTCCCTCGCGTCTTCTGTAGCAGTCTTTTCTTTACATGTTTGAGTGTGGCCTCCCAGGACCACCCAGGAGCAGGTGAATTTTGGAGTTACGGAGAAATAAATTCCTCGTGCTGGTTCCTCCTTAAAGGACAATGTGGAAACGGTTGCCTGGGACGTTTGGTTTCAAGCAAGTTGGAGCAGCTGTCGCAAAAATGGAAGTCACTGAAAATACGGGCTCTGGAGCAGCTTGGGAAGGTCAAAGGGCAGCAGATTCTCACACCAGATGGTGTTTCCCCAGGTCCTTGGAAAAGCAATTGCCCCAAATACCTGAGAAAGGGTTGAGAACACTCAGCACTTCCCTAAACTGCTTCCAAAGAATGGAAAGACTCTACCACGGCACTTCAAAAATAATCATCTGGGATCTGGGTGTTTGAAACCACTTTGTTTTGATGATGCAGCAGAAGCAGCATCCTTTTTTTTTTTTTTTTTTTTTTTCCTCTAGCTTCCTCAAGTGCCTGGAGCCAACGCCGAGGAGCACAAGAGACATTTAAGCAGAGTGGTGTGAAGGGCTTGAGGGGGGAGCCTGAGAGATGAAGAGCCGTGGAGGACACCCACCCCCGATCCTGGGCAGAATAAGGGGGGTCTGCAAACACCGCTGGGCTCCTGCCAGTATCTGTCCTGCTGAGGTCTGCTTACCTCTTGCACCTCCAGAAGCACTACGAAAACTATGGAGGCAGCCTAGCCAGCTTTCCTCAGCCCCTAGCCTTGTCCTCAAGAGAAGTAAAAATAGAAAGGTGCTCTTGAAGCAATTTAGTCCGTGCAGCTTCAAGCGACTGTTTTGTGATAGTGACTGCGGGAGCGAGGATGCTGAGACATCTGGAGAAATTGCTGTGATGGGGTTTCTTGGCAAAAACCTTCCCTGGACGCCTGACGCAAGGCTATCAGCAAGTGGGTGCTTCACAGGGAGGCTCTTAGAAAGATCCATTCATCAATTGAACAATCGGTGTTTGCTCCCTAAAGCCCTTGGGGCTGGGGGAGTCAAGCGGAAAAACAACCTCGCAGGCAGCTCTGAGTGTCCCTGTGTTTTGCAGCGAGATAGCTCGTTGCGTTCTGCGCATACCCCGCGTGCCCTGCTGTTCCCAACCCGCCTACTTCAAAGAAAAGCTGACATCCCTTCTTCTTCCCCAGCCAGAAGCTCGGGGCCTGAGTTGGAAAGTGGATTTTCCTGACCCAAATCAGGGAAGGTGCCACCCCTGAGGGGTTTTTAGGTGATGCTGGGAGGCTGCGTCCAGCACTTCCCTCTGTAATTGCTGTAGCTATGCAAATCCTCATGTGGTCGATCATGCGGGTTGGGCACATCCCTCCTTTACAAGGAGAGGATTAAAATCTGCTAGTGGCCCTGCAGGAGCATCATCCTACCCTAAAGCCAGATGGTCCAAACCCACCTCTTGTCCTTCCCGAGAAGCGTCGAGCACCCCGTTAGTACCGGTGCGTCGCGGTGACGTGCCCTCCGCCCCGGGAGCTGCACTCCCTAACTTGGCTCCGATGTTCCGGTTCTGCTGCGGAGCCTGTTGTTAGCTCTGGGTTGTTTTTTTGGTGGTTTTTTTTTTTTTTTTTTTTTTTTTTTTTTGGGTTTTGTTTTGTTTTTATTGGAATTCAGATAATTCATCACTTGGAAAACGCGCCGGGCTGTCTTTGTGCAACGCGGCGCTAGAGGAACTCCTGGCACCTGAACTTTATTTAACCCAGTTCTGTGGAAGACCAGCAACTTCTTCTAAATCTATATATATATTCTTAACCCTCGTCTGCCTTCGAGTTACTTGGGGTAGCACCGCTCTGCTCCTCATCTCTCTGTCTTTACAGATGTACTTCTGCACAGAAGAAGGGGAAGACAAGTCTTCTGGGGCTGGTGCGTGGTGAAATCCCCGAGCAGGCGGCTGCGGGGAGTGCTGGGCACCGACAGTTCCCGGAGGCAGGTGCGAGAGCTGCTCTCGCTTTGCACGGTTAATTAAAAGGATCAGTTTTTGTTTGTCTTCTCCTGGTGCTTGCGGGGGTTTAATAAGGATCTGAAAGCGCTGGCGGCAGGCGCGGGGAGGGGATCTTCCGGGCGCAGCCTCGCAGCCCTTCTCTTCACCCCCACGGCTGTTTCCCCTTCTGCCAGACCCGCGTCGCCGCTCATCCCACCTGCAGCACAACCTGCCCAGTTGTGCCTTGTGGTTTTATTCTTTTAATCCTGTGGGTAAATCTCTAGTCCTGGACTGCAAGGCTTTTGTTTGCAAGCTGAGGCTTTCTGGGCGGGAAGAGTGTCGGGGGACAGGTTTAAACTCCGTTTCTTCTTCCTTGCGTGTTCCCTGAGTGGTTCCAAAGCCCTGCAGCAACGTAATGAAGGGCTGGGCACCCTTCTCATAGCAGGAACCAGACCTTCAGAGCGTGTGCCCCTTGAAATGGGGGATCTGGGAGCTTCTGCTGCAAACAGAAGACCTTTTGAGTCTCTGCTGGTTTGGCCGTGGCTGAGCATTGCGTGTGCAAAACGATGATTTTAAAATATTGCTGGTCTAGGTGTAACGATAACATCTTGCTGGACCGAAAGAAACAGCTTTCTTAGCTCGTAGCTCTCTTGTTTTAGGGGCTCTGACTCTAGGGAGTCTGTGTTTGGTTGCCTTTCAGCCACGAGTAAATCCTTCTAAATGTGAGTTGAGGAGACCAGAAAGTCTGGGAGATGTTGTGAGTTTGCATTCTCCTGAGTCGGCCACTTTGTCGGATAAATCCTCTCCAGTGAGTACGAGCCAGCCTGTGGCCAGATGTTAGACGTCGCAGCCTGATATCCGATTACCTCCTGGATGAATTGGCTGCTCCTCTTCTTCCTCCAGCCTCCCAGGTTAGCAACACAATCCTGCTAAGTGGAGACTGTCTGTAAAATCACGGAATAACGGTGATTTTTGCGTGCCTGGAGCTCCTTCTGCAAAAAAAAAAATATCACTCGATCCTCCAAGATCAGCCTTCCTGAAAAGAACTGCCTTTCTGGCTGGGGATCGGTGGTGATCAGCACAGGTGAATTTAATGAATCCCTCCTCCCAGGGCATGTGTGTGTAAAAATACACATAAAACTGTGCACAGCAACTTGTCTTTGTGAGGTGAAGGTGCTCTTGGCCCTGGGGGAGGTCTTGCAGCTACGTGCTAATCTCTCCTGTTTTTCTTTCAAGCATCCTTTCTCCCAGTGCTGGGGAGGTTGTTCCTGTTTCACGGTGTTGCCCTGCTCTAAGGGCTTGGGGGACCTGGGCTTGATTACACGAGAAATGTCAGCAAGTCTCCTCATCTGCCTGAGCCTTGGTTTCCAGTCTGCTGGGCGCGTTTATCTCAGTCAGGTCTCGCTGAGCTCCAACCACGCGCTCCCACCACCTCTGTGCCACCAGCCGTGGTGCGGGTCGGATTCTTTGCAAGTAAGATTCAGCTGCTGGGAAGGGGATGGGATAGCGTGGGAAGGGCAGGACCTTCCTGCTGTGCTCCAGGGATCACCAAGGCTAGGTTTTTTTTTTGTGCTTCCCAGATGAACGCGGCCGTTTGACCACCAACCTTCCTCTTCTCACCTCTCTTGGTCTGTAGCTTCTTCACCCTTTATTTTGCCTCTCTTTGCTTTGTAAGCCCTTGGGTTGGTTTGTATCTCACTCTCTTCTCCATCAGTCAAGTCTAGCAGGGAAGTGGCCCTGGGTCTCAGCTATTTGCTGGGAGGAAAAATGGTTTTATTCAACCACTGATTTTCCTGCCTGATAAAAGCGCCCTCTCCTCTGTTTGCTTTGGAGCTCTCTGCGTCCTCTGCAGCGGCGCAGCCACCGTCATCGCTGCCGGAGCCTTTGCTGACAACTGAGGCAGGAGCACTGCTGGGCAGCAAGTGCCTCAGTTTCTCTTTAAACTGATTAAACCCATCGATGGGTGTTAAATGAGTTTTATCTGCTTAATTCGCCCTGTGGGCTGAGGGGCTGATACACAGATCCAGAGCGTGTTGGAGGCGCGCGGAAGCGGCTGGAGGTGGGATGGGGTCCTGCGAGCTTGATTTTTCAGGTTTTGGAAATGTCTCTGCTTGAGGTTCACGGGGTTTGACCTCGGTGAGGAATCAGCCTTGGGGGTGCACGTGGCTGAGCTTGTCTGACGGTTGGCCGTTTGAGGCCCAGACGATTTGGGAGAGGTGTAAAAAGAACAGCCTTGAAAAGGGGGAGAATTAGCATCCAAGCATCGGGGAGGTGTGTGCACTGGGGAGAGGGCTGGCTGCTGACTCTTGAGCTCTTCTGGAGGGAGGCGAAAAGGCGGGCGAACTTCTGGGTGTCCTCTGGATATCATCACCAGCTCCACCACCCATTTGCTCCCCTTGCTTGCACCACGTGGCTGACCTGCACCCCTCTAGCACTTCCAGAAGCATTTCTGGTGACGCATTAACCACCTTGTACCCTGAACACTTTTTTTTTTTTCCCCCCCTGTCCTTCCCATGTACCCTTGTGGGATTTTTTTTTTTTTTTTTTTCCCTGATGGTAGATCTTCTCCGGTGTTTCCATCCTGAGTTTATCACTGGGTTGAGACGTAAAAGGGAGCTGGGCTGAAGTTCAGAGCTCTCTGAGGCAGCTTGGGTCCTTTACTAGCTGCCTCTGCTTGGCTTGCCAATAAATACATCACCTTTATTCTGCTGAGCTCCTGGTTGACCCTGCTTTTTCCAACTCGTGTGGGTCGCTGCCGGTCCTGATGCAGATTTGCCCCTCGCTTAGCGAGAGCCCGCGATCCAGGACGGCGTGGATGTGTCTCACTGCTCTCTGCTCTTCCCTTTCCTCCCCAGGGAGCTCAAACTCCGAAACTACGAGCCCGAAGATGAGGAGCTGAAGAAGAGGAAGGTGCCCCAGGCCAAGCCGGCTTCAGGTGGGCACAGGCGGGAACGTGGGAGGCGAAACGAGGGAGCGCGAAAGGTGAAGCCTTGCAAACGGTGGTGCTGGTGCTTTGCTCTGTTCTGGAGGCTTGTGGGCAAAGGCAGATCAGGCAGAGCCCTTCACAGGGATTCAGTGACTGCTGAAACCAGCCTCTCTCTAACAGCACATTCCTCCCGAGAGAATGAGGCAACGCTTGGGGTTGCGAGGACAAAAATAAAATCAGCACGGGACTCTGCATCCAGCCAGCACGCTGCGAAGCAGATGGGTTATACCTTTCCAAAAAACGAAATGGCTTGGAAACCTCTGTGTTCCTGCTCGCTCCAACCCCGGGTGGAAAAGCCACTGGGATGTTTTCTGGTGGCAGCTTGCTGGTGGGAGGGTGGGAGGTCCTCGGAGACGAGTGGCTGCAGCCCTGGAGGGTGCTGGCGTGTCTGAGCAGCTGTGGTGGGAGCTGCTGGGAGAGCGTGACGCTTGCGGCCCCCGTTGCTTCATCATCCTCTCTCGCCCGTGGCGACTGCACACCCCGCATTGCACAAGTGGGGTGTGTGTCTGAGCACACCGAGTCCGGCCCCAAACTAAAGGGTTGATACTCAGAGGAGCCGAGCTCTCGCCAGAGGATTCTCAAGGAGATTCAGGCTGTTTTTTGTTTGAACTGCCTTTAAACAAATATTAGTCATGAGCTCAGGGCGTTCAGTCTGCTATTGCCTAGCACTGAACCTCCGTGGAGCTCTTGAGAGGGAGGCGAGGGGTAGAAGCTTTTGTGATCTTGAAATACTGAGTCCTCCTGGAATAGATGTCTTTAAAAATGCCCTAAATAAAAAGGCTGCCTTTGGGAGCACGGCAGAGATCGGGTAGGTAGGAATGCTGACGCTGCGCTTTCTTTATCCTTTCGTAAAAGTTTACAACTTCTGGCTCTTCCCCGGCGCGTGGTTTGGAATTGGGAACGGCAGTTTTGACCGTTTCCAGTAAAACCCGCGCTCTCTGCCAGCCCTTTTTTTGGAGCTGCAGTGCCCATCGGCTGCGGTTCCCGTGTCTGGAGCGACCGGCCTGTCTGTCCTCGGGCACTTTGTGCGGGGGCTGAGTCCAGAGGAGCTGAGACTCGGGAGGGAATTTGTACTAAAAATGCCGTGGGAGGTGCTGGAGCAGGATTCACCCCTCAGGGATGTGCTCCCTGGTGCCCACACCCCCTCCTTGCACAGAGTTGAAAGATAGAAGGCTGTTTTCCACGCATTCTTTACCATTATCCCCGGTATCTACAGACTTTTACATAAGGTCTGGGCCGGAGCTTGATTCCTCCAAGATGTCTCAGGTGGTGGCCTTGTAAATGAGTCACGGTGAGGCGAATCCCAGTTTAAACACCTGCGGAGCGGCTGATCCCCGCAGGGCTTGCGAAAAGAGGACTTGACCCCAGCAGGCTTCTTGCTGCCATGGGGGGGGGGGGGGCTGCCAAATGGCTGTTGGGTTTTGTGTCGTTTTTTTTTTTTGGGGGGGGAGTCGCCCGAAGGGTTTGGCTGGTGGAGGGATGTGTGTGTGTGCCCACGTGTACTCAACACGTCTGCACCGCGCTTTTAAGGGCCAAGATGTTCGAGTGGGTTTTTACAAAAGGTTTTGTGAACCAAGCCAAAAGTTTTAGGGATGGGGGGGGTGTTTCCCTGGGCTTTGTCCCCTTGGTGTCCCACCGCTGTGCCCCGTGCTGATGCTGGTCCTGTTCCCCCATCTAGTGGAAGACAAGGTGAAGGACCAGCTGGAGGCCGCCAAGCCGGAGCCCATCATCGACGAGGTGGTACGTATGTAAATTCAGAATTTTTCTGTGCCGGCTGCGTCGGCGTCCAGGCTTGAACCTCGCCTGCAGCTCTCACTACTGGGTGTCTCCTCTTCCTCCCTAGGATCTGGCAAACCTGGCCCCCAGGAAGCCAGACTGGTGAGTGCCTGCAGAGCCCCGCTCCTGGGAAAGGGGTGTTGGCATCAGCGGTGGGTTTACCATCACCTCAAGGTTGTCCAAGTGGGGTTAAAAGTGCTAGAAATGGGGAAACCCAGCCCTGCTGTCGAGGAAGACGCAGGGCACGGGACTGTCTTCCCTTTCCCTGCTCTACACCGAGCGACTCCACTGATCCTTTCGGGGTTGCTTGTCACTGTGGTGGCCTCAGTGCCACCGGGGGATGCTCTGGACATTGGGTGGGTTTGCCCTTGAGCTGCCTCGGTGACAAACACACACCGTGCTCCCCGGTGCTCACAGGAGAGAGGAGGAGTTGTTCTCCTGCTGGGAAAGGTGTGAGGTGGCCCCTGTGTTCACATCTGCCTGGGGCGAGGAGTTGTTCTGACGTTATCGCTCTCCTCCCCAGGGATTTGAAGCGAGACGTGGCCAAGAAACTGGAGAAGCTGGAGAAGAGGACGCAGAGAGCCATCGCTGAATTGATCCGTGCGTCGTGGTGCCGCGGGGGTGGCGGATGGCGTCACCAGTTGCTCTGGAGGGGGATTACACGATTCTGACCGGGAGCCTGGGTGCCTTGCTCTTGGGCTGGGGAGGGACCGGTGGAGCTTGATCCCCTTCCCAAAAAAGGGGTCTGTGAAGCTGTCGGTCCCCCACGCTTGGCTTGTGCGGCAGGGAAGGACGGTTTGGGGGTGGGGGGGTGGGGGGCTGCGCTGTGTGGGTTCCCCAGTACGGCCGGTTTATGGCTAAGCTGCTGCTGTTTCTCGCTTGCCAGGAGAGCGGTTGAAGGGGCAGGAGGAGGAGCTGGCGGCCGCTGTGGGGTCAGCGAAGCAGGAGGGAAGCGACTCCGACTGAGGAGATCCATCCCGGCAGCCTGGCGCCCGGGCTCCGCGGATCTGCCTCGGGTGGGGGCACCCGGTTGGGACACGCCGCTCGCCGACGCTTTGCCAGGAGCCCGCAGATCCTACCGTGCCTGCAGGAGAGGGGCAGATCCGAGGAATCCTCTCTTGGATTATGGCTGGCTGTTGAGGAACACTTCACAGATAGCTTTTTGGGACCGTGGGGAGCAGGACAGACGCCCGCGTTAGCTTTGAACCTAGGCTGCCAGGACTTCAGAGCAAGGAGGATTTGGGCAAAAGGGCTCGTGCTGGAGGAGAGAAATTCAGGCTTGTAAGCGAGAAGATGCCCCTGCAGCCGACAGCAACCCCTTGGGGAGGCACGACCGGTTCCCAGGGGATGGACGCTCCTGTTCCCGCACAGAGAAGCCTTTTTTTTTTTTTTTCCAAGGTGCCCCTTTCTGCAGGAGAGCTGGTGCAAGAGCCACGTGGGGAACCGCGGAGGTCGCTCGCCCTAGTGAGCAGGCTGTGAGTATTTGGGAACATCCACGGCCAGGCGCAGCACGTGCAGAATAATTCTGCTGGAAAGGGGCTGTGCGGCTCAGGACCCGTTGGCTGCTCTGCATCCAGCTGAGGTTAACATGGGGTTTGATCTGTTCCCTGGAGTTGCCCCGACTCGCCAGGCTGTGCTGTGTTTCCGCTCCTCTGCGTGTTTTATAATTGATAAAAGCTCGTTGTTGGCAAATATTTCTGTAATAAAACAGTCCCGCGGCGGAAGAAGTTGTTTCAGTTTGTGTCGGTCTGAGGTGGCCGAGCTTGTAGCTACAGCAGGTCAAGCACAACTCCTCGGCCGGAGTCGTGACGTGGATGGGGCAGCCGGGGGTGATGCTGGAAGAAGTTGAGAGGGTGGGATGTTGCAGAGCTGACCCTGCATCTTCCCTTTGATTGCCGCTCTGGGAGCTCTTGCAGGATGGGTCGCCTGAGCTCCCGAACCCTCTGCGTTCGATTCAGAAGTGGTTTTGTCCCCCAGCAAAGCGTCTGGTGTGTACAGCTCTGACAGCGGTGTTCGTGAAAGAGTTCACCTGGGATAAAATTAGCCGTTTGTCGTGGTTTAGGCCTGGTTGGCAGCCAACCACAATGCAGCAGCTCTCTCTCCCTTCCCCTCCGGCAATGAGAAGGGACAGGGAGCCAGGCTTGGGGTTCGAGATAGGGCTGGGATGGGGAAAAATTCCCCTTTATGATCACAAGCAAAAGGCAGACTCGTTAGGGGAAGAAAAAAAGAACATACATTTATTACAGACACTAACAACACGTAACAGAGTAGGACAGTGAGAAGCATTGCCACATCTTGAGAACACCTTCCCCCCACCCCTCCCTTCTTCCCGGGCTCAGCTCTGCTCCCGATATCTCTACCTCCTCCCCCAGTGGCGCAGGGGCAGGGAATGGGGGGTGCAGGCAGTCAGTGCTGCCACTTCCCTTATCTTCAGTGAGGGGAGTGTCTGGAACTTGTTCCTCCTGCTCCATCGTGGTCCCCCTCTCACAGGAGACAGTCCTCCACAAACTTTCTCCAACATGAGTTCCTCCCACGGGCCGCAGCGTTCCCCACACTGCTCCGTCGTGGGTCACTAACTTCCTCCAACTGGATTCCCTCCCACGGCTGCAGCCCTTCCCGAGCTGCTCCGGCGTGGGACTCCCCCGCATGCTGCAATCCTCCCAGCACTGAATTACAGCAGCGGGGCTGCCTTTTCCCACGAGACCCCGGCCTTCTTCGGGCACAGCACCTTGATTATGCTGAGCAGGAGCCACAGGCCATAAGTCAATGTCTGCTCCACCGTAGATCTCCATGGGTGGCATGGGGGGGCCGCCCTGCCGTCTCCCCACAGGATACAGGGGGGTCTCTGCTCTGGCACACCTCCCCTCTCCTTTCTTCCTCCGTTCCTCCACTGGCCTTGGTGTTCACGCAGCTGCAGCAACTCCTTCTCACAAGTCCCACTGCCCGTCACCACGTCCCTTCTTAAATACGTTATCGCAGAGGCGCAGCTGATGGGCTCAATTTCCCAAACAGAAGTGGAGCTGACTTGGAGCTGGGGGAGCTTCGAGAAGCTTCTCACAGGGGGCCGCCCTGATAGCCCCCTCCCCTGCCACCAAAAAACACTCCACCACTCACTCAACCCAGGACGCCGTTCCTGTTAATGCACGCAATCCTTCTGCTTTTAAAAACCTGTTAAAAACTCCTGGGGTGGGGGGGGGGAGAGGCGCTTCACGCAGCGGCAGCCTGCTTTGGCGGGAGGGGCGTTTTTACCCTCGTACCTGCTCGAGCTGCCCTCTCAGATGGTCACCAGCTGAACCAGGTCCCCACGCAGGACCAGATCGATGCCAGCCACGCTAACCACAGGGCTGCCGGACGCTTGTCCCTCTGCCGGGATCTGCTGCGACTGCCCACCGCTGCGTTGGGGTGAGGACACCGCAGGAACCAGGCAGACCCCCCCCCGCTCCTGTTTCCGGGTGATGGGCTGGTGGGCAAAGATCTGGTGAAATTGCCCTCTTCTTCCTCCAGCTTCTGTGCACAAACGGCTTTTTTAAGGCCTCCATCCCCACACTGCCTCCCCCCTTTCCCCTTGGCTTGCCTGGTCCTGGTGGTTGTAGCCATCCCTGCTCCCTTCTCCCCTCGGGCTGGTGTTTGTCACCTCTCGGGGGCCCTTTTCCCACCTCCGTGGGGCCAACAAGGAGACGGAGATCCCGTGGAGCAAGGGGAGACCCGTACCCTCCACCATGGGCCAGCGAGTTTCCCACTCCAGTGTCGGTGTGTGGTTGTGGATTCCCTCCGGGCTCTCGGGTGGAAAAGCACTTGGGATCCCAGCCCAGCCATCTTCCTTGGGGGGGGTGGGTGGGTGTTTGGGGGGTATTTTTATTATTTTGTCTTATTCTTTTCCAGCCAGGAGGCAGCCTAGTGTCCCTCACTCTTGTTCCTGGGCAAGAAAACCCAGATCAGTCACCGGTGTGAAGGTGCCCCCCAGGCACCCAGTGCCACCGGGGGCAGGTGGGTGCTCTTGGCCGTTTTCGTGCCAGCTTGGTCATCTTCCCCCTTGGGAAAAGCGGGGGTGGATCTGCCGGACGGGGACATCCGTGGCACCAGGCAGAGCACGTGGCGATGCTGGAAAATGAAAAAGACCCTCCCGCCACTCGTGACAAGCGCTGACTTCACCACCAAAACGGAGCTGGCAGCGGTCGAGATGAATGTTCAGAGATTGATCATTCCAGGTTTTTTTTTTTTGTTTGTTTGTTTGGTTTGGTTTTTTTTTTTTTTTGTTTTTTTGTTTTTTTTTTTTTTACGGTTAGTTATCCGTGACCCGGGCTGTTGCCCGTTTCTTTTGGGGGAAGGAAACGGCGGAGCGTGACCGCGAGCCCCGGCCTCCTCTCTGTGGAACGCCCTGTAGATGTCAGCAAATCTCTGCGCGCAAAACCGCGCCGGGTCCCAGCAGCTGGACTCTGCCCAGAGCTGAGCTTTGCATCCACAGCCGCCTCTCGGGCTTGGGATGCTGCCGCTCTCCTCCCGCCGTCTGCACCCTCTCCTTCGCCCAAGCGCCTCGGCCACAAGTACGAACGCACCGTGGAGGCGCGACGCTCTCCCCGCTTTGCAGCGGTGGGGAGCCAGACAGTTTTCCCTCCTTCTCTTTAAAAGGACATAAAAATCTTTTTAAACTGATGCTGGGCGCAAGCACAGCCCTTCCCGGAGCAAACCTGAGCTCCAGCCGGGAGCGGAGCGCTCTGCTCTGCATGGGCTGACAGTTTTTGAATTTGTTTGCAGTGTTTCCCCCGCCCTCTAAAAAAAAAAAAAAAAACACCAAAAAATAAAACAAAAAAAACCCCAATTAAAACCTGCTTTTCTCAGGCAAGGAAGAGTTCTCGGAATAATCATTTTCACTCTTCCAGCTCTCTGAAAATGTCATTTGGAAGTGAAAAATCAAAACATTTTCTTCCAGGACAAGCCAAAATGAAACTTCCTGCCTTTTCCCTTTCCTGTCTGTTTTCCACTTTTTATTCCAGCCTGAAATTAAGCCGGGATCAGCCCCAGGCCCCTGTGACCCAACTGGGAAGAGGTCCATTCCTGGATGATGGGGTCCACAGACCCCAAACCTGCGTGTGGGAGCTGGGACCTGCTGTGGGAGCCTCCCATCCTCCCGACTTCTGGGAGCATCCCTGCAGCCACTGACCATGCTGCCATCTCTTCTGGCTGGAAAATACCTGCCCGGAGTCTTAATTCTTTTGCTTTGCTGAGGGGATGGGTTCTTCTCCCTCTTTTTAATATAAATGGGATTTTTTATAAGCAGGAAAAGTGCTGTTCCTCAGGATGCCCTGCTGCTTTGATCCCTGCGGGGAGCACGCTTGTAAATCGTGACTCGGTTCCAAAACTGAGCGTGGCCGTCCCCTTCCCCGCGGGCAGTGGGCTCAGCACCCGGAGCAGAGCCATCCTTGCAGGACACGAGGGGCTGGGTTGGCACCCGGAGTGGGGTGGTGGGGAGGGAGAGCAGGATCAGGCTCATTTCCCTCTCTGGGGGGGGCAGCGCAGCGAAGCGTCGCTTAGCCTGGCGCAGGACTGGGACGCCAGCGCGAGATGGGGGTTGTGGCAGGGGACAGGGATCCTGGAATGGGACTGGGGACCCTGCATGGGACAGGAATCCCAGAATGAGACTGGTGTCCATCCATAGGACTGGTGTCCTGGCATGGGACAGGGATCCCGGGCATGGGACAAGGATCCTGTCATGGGACAGGTATCCCAGCATGGGACTGGTGTCTGTCTGTGGGACAGGGATCCCAGTGTGGGACAGGGATCCCAGCATGGAACTGGTGTCCGTCCATGGGACAGGGATCCCAGCGTGGAACTGGTGTCTGTCTGTGGGACAGGGATCCCAGTGTGGGACAGAGATCCCAGCGTGGAACTGGTGTCTGTCTGTGGGACAGGGATCCCAGTGTGGGATAGGGATCCCAGCATGGAACTGGTGTCTGTGGGACAGGGATCCCAGTGTGGGATAGGGATCCCAGCATGGAACTGGTGTCTGTCTGTGGAACAGGGATCCCAGCATGGGACTCGTGTCCATCTGTGGGACAGGGATCCCGTCATGGGACTGGTGTCCATCTGTGGGACAGGGATCCCAGTGTGGGACAGGGATCCCAGCATGGAACTGGTGTGTGTGGGACAGGGATCCCAGTGTGGGATAGGGATCCCAGCATGGGACTGGTGTCTGTGGGACAGGGATCCCAGCATGGGACAGGGATCCCAGCATGGAACTGGTGTCTGTGGGACAGGGATCCCAGCGTGGGACTTTGTCTGTCCATAGGACACCGATCCCAGCATGGGACTGGAGTCCTGTCACAGGACTGGGATCCCAGCATGGAGCAGCCCTGGGGCCGGTGTGTAGGTGCCAGGGGACTGATCCCCCCTTCCCTGGGACATTCCCTTCCCCAGCCTGGGGGAAAGAGGAGCGTATGGGGATGGGCTGGGGAAACAGGGGCTTTGGGAAATGTAACACCAAACTCTCCATCCCATGGATTCCGTTTATTCCCTGGCTGCGTGGCCAGATGGCGAGGGCTTTTCTCCCTTTCAGAGCTTGCACCCCAAGCCTGTGTTTATCCTCTAGACCTTTCAAAATCCCAAACTGTACTTCTCAGGGCCCAGAAGCAGTTTTCACTGAACTATGTTTTTTTTTTTTTTTTTTCTTCCCTTGCCTTGCAGCTGGCCCAGGGACCCGCCTGAAGCCCCCTCAGCCAGCGCAGTG